TGGAAGGGACCTTGGAGGTCTTCTAGTCTAGCCCGCTGCTCAAGCAGGAGAACCTATATCATTTCAGACAAATGACTCTCTAGCAGTGGTGGGATTCAAATATGTGAACAACCAGTTCTCTGTGTGGATGCTGCTTCCGGAAGTCCATTCTGAGCCTGGGCAACAAAAAATTAGCTACTGGTTCTGCCGAAGTGGTGCGAACTGGTTGAATCCCACCACTGCTATCTAGTCTCTTCTTAAAAACCTCCAGTGATGGAGTGCCCATGATTTTTGAAGGCAAGCTGTTCCACTGGTTAATTGTCCTCACTGTTAGGAAGTGGTTAAAGTGATAGGTCCTTTTGCTAAAAGATGCTGGCTGCAGTAAAGTCAGACTAGAACTAAATTTCCCAGGTTCAAAAGATACAAAAAGGTTCCCCACATCCCAGCTCTTGCCCCATGACCAATCCATGTTCAGCCAATAAAAGTCCATCTAAGTGTTTTGAGAATGCTGAGATGTTTAGGGTAATCCACATTCTTTCTCAGGGTGCGTGGCCTTGATTGCTGGCACAATCTTATTCTGAGCTCCCTGCTCTTGATCAAGCTGTCATCCCTCCTTCCTAATTTCCCATCACATATACATGCAGGATGATTGCCCACTTGTTCTTTCCCCCAGGTCTCCCTCTCCCTCCTATCCTTTGATGGCAGGATACCGGCAAGGCGCCAAGTGGAAGATGGCAGACCTGACAGTCAGATTCTTGTAGAGAGCTCAAGCTTTCAATAAATCTTTATACTCATCTGAACTGCCTGGCACTTTACAAAGGCAGATAAACAGGCAGACCATTTTATGGATCAGATTTGCATTTTTAATTAACATTCAAGGATAACGGGGAACATCACAGAAATATAGATACTTTGCGATCCTTTTAAAAGGGCGTTTGTAGTTTATTGGAGGGAGTTAACTAAATTATGTGACTTAAGCTGAACAGAGGTTTCATGGACTTGTTTTCCTTGTTCCTGCTTTTAAATAAATAAGTAAATGAAAAGCTGCCAAAAGTACACAGTTTGCTGTCAAAATGCTAGCAATACAATCTGGGAAGAGACTCAAGAACCTACAAAAAGATGCTTCTGAAAAATGCATGTAGGTAGAGCAATGTTTGTTCATGCCTTCAGGGGTGTGTATGTGTGTGTTTGCAAACACACACTTGGACCAAGTTAATAGCTTAAGTGCTTGTGATCCTCTACAGATCACTACCAACAGATTTTAGAATAGAATGGAATGGAATAGAATAGAATAGAATAGAATAGAATAGAATAGAATAGAATAGAATAGAATAGAATAGAATAGAATTCTTTATTGGCTGAGTGTGATTGGAATTTGTCTCCAGTGCAAAAGCTCTCAGTGTATATACACACAATAAAGTGATAAATCATAATCGGAGAAAGTAATAGAGAAGATGAGAAGGATAATAATAATATAGTCCTACCACATAATATCCATAAGACAGTGCTATGGGAATTAGGTGTTTAGCAGAGTAGTACAATAGTAGCAGCACTGTCTAAATTCTGCATTCCACAAAGTAACTGTAACTGTGTTTTGGGGCCCTAATCAGCTGCCAAGCAGAAGCCCCATTCAACTTATTCCAGACTATTTTATATTTCAGAAGCTCAGGAGCAAAGCAGAGCCGGAATGAATGATTTCAAAAGAGCAGCGAAAGCCCCAAATTGCTTGGTGCATGAAAAAGGACTGAAGGTCAAGCTTCTGCTTATCCTTGAGATTCAAAAGGCACTGATTTATTGTAATACTTTATGAAAATGACAAGTGGATGCCAAATCTTGTCTTGTCTTGTGGTGCTGTGTGGGTGTGTTTTAAATGTTACAACCCATTTTAAATGCACTTGGCATTTCAAGCACATATATATGTATATGCGTGCGCATATCTGCTTAGAGGGCTATATTTTGCCAAGCAGTAGAGAAGCCAACAAGAAGTAAGATTTATCACTCTCAGTGCTAGCGATGTGCCAGCGAACTTGTGGTAGACAAAAACAAGTACATTAGAAAGCGGTTTGTGCCCTGATCCATCAAAGTGGCATTGTCTTCTCTTGAATGAAGAACTAGAGGATACTATCTATATTCAAGCTATCCTTAACTTTTGACCGTAATTGGGAAGAGAATTTTAGTTGCTTAGCAATGTGGTTGTTAAGTGAGACATCACATGACCAGACCCAACTGAATGATCATTTTTACCATGATCATTAAGCAAATCATGTAGTTGTTAAATGAATCATACAGTCATTAAATGAATTTAGTTTCCTCCCTCCCCCATTGATTTTGTTTGCTGGAAGCTGGCTGGGAAGGTCAAAACTTGTGTGTCATGGTTCTGGCAGATGAATCTCTTCAAAAGAACTTTGAGGCTTTGTTTTCCTTAAAGAATCTTTTATTAGAGAAACAAATTATCGGCACTACATAGTTGAAGCCAAAAACTGAATTCCCCTCCCCTGGCACAAAGTAGCAAAGCGCAATTCCCTCCTCCAATTAATAGTCATAAATCACATTCCCCAATTAACTTGAAGTGCCGGCTTTCTCCCCATCTCTCCTGCCCGCCAAATTTCTATTAACTCTGGACCTAATAACCTTAGTTTCCCATGGCTGAGTTATTATTGTTATGACTAGCTGGACTCTCATCCACATTCCCCCTCCCAGCATCAACGAACTCTAAAAGCGATAGAGAAAAGATGGCTACATTTCCATCTGTTTTCAAAGCAAGAACATCTGATGTTAGCAGCATTGACATTGTGATCACATGACTGCAGAATGCTGCTATCATCATAAATGTGAGCCAGTTGCTAAATACCCAAATCCTGATCACATGACTGCAGGGGTGATTTGACAGCCATTGCTTTGAATATGGGCATAAATAACTTTTACCTGTAACTCTGAGCCATCATTAAATGAACAGTTCTAAATCAAATCAAATCACCTATAAATATAAATGAAAGGAAGCTAAAGAAATAGTTGCCTTCCTTCATATTAATAAAAACATCAGAAAAGGCTTTAAGTTAAGCCAACTGTTTCTTCTTTCAGTAGTGATCCAGGTAAGCCAAAGAGGGAATCATCAAGGAAAATCTTTCTATTACTATTTTTCTTCCTAAACTGTTTGGGATTGTGATCCAGCCCTTTCATATTTCTGAAAGAACAGCATTAAACATACTAAATTATTGAATAAAGGTATTAGAAAAATGTAAAACTAAGGTTTAATTTGACCTTGGAATAGCAACTTCAAGATCTGTGGACTTCAATTCTCACAATTCCCCTAGCCAGCATGAATTCTGGGAGTTGAAGTCCACATATCTAAAGACTGCTAAGGATTAGAGCAGGGGTCCCCAACATATGGGCTGTGGCCCACTACTGGGCCATGACCTGCTGGCCAGTGGGCTGCAGGACAGGCTGGCCAGTGCACGCATGTGTGTGCATGCACTCACCCCCACTTGCACTAGTACCGTCGCTATGAAAATGAGGTGCCAGGCAGTGAAAACAGGGCACTGCATGGTGAAAATGGGGCAGTGCTAGCAAGTGTCATGCAGGCACTAGCCCCCCCCCCATTTCTGTTGCACATGCTTGCTGGCTCGTTTGTGTTTGCGCACATGCATGTGCGTAAAATGCTTCACCCTCTCTTTCCCTTTGGTCCATCAACTAAGAAAGGTTGGAGACCTTTGGTTTAGAGGATTAATAAAAGCCAAATAAGGAAGTCATCTCAGCAGCAAATATTGAGAAATTATAAGAAATAGTTGGGTTTGAGAGATGTGTGATTGAATCTATGTGGGCTTTTGTTCACTGATTAATTGAAGGGCTATCCCTTCATACTTGAGGGTATTTTTAAAGATTGTATATAACTTCAGGCTATCCTTAGATGCATTCTGAGCAGCCTCATGAGATCCAAAGGATTGCACAATGCATACCCTAAAGATGAAGGCAACATCATGGGATGACAGCAGATAAATGAAGTTACCAGTGCATGCTTGAGTTGTGATTAAGTGCACATGGGAACCTGGTTTATATTTCCCTAAGGTTGCTTTTGATGTCTGAGCAGAAAAATGTTTATCTCTTTTCTGCTAAGAAGCCCGATCTGTGAAGAATTCTGTATTAAAATTTATTTTTTACTTTAGTTTGGTTAAGATTGCTTTATTTCTAGACAAGTTTGCTGAGGTTTTTATTTACTAGATTCAGTCACCTTCTGAATCTAGTAGAGACACCTGCTCTCCATTGTAAAATGGCTGTTGGAATTTCTCTTCCTGGAAGAGACACCCACATCCCAACTGCACATCACACTAAAAACATAGCTAAACCTAAACATCTATGCCAGGGGTGTCAAACTCACAACGTCATGTAACATGTCACAACATATTGCAACTTTTTTTCCATTGCCAGCAATGGGGTGGGTGCGATTTTGCAATGATGCATCCGGCCCACGGGCCGGCAATTTGACATTCCTGATCTATGCTGATTGTGTCTTTACTAGAGAAGAGCAAAGCCAGATCCCATTGGAGGATTTTGTAGTTTTCTAATAAATTTAGGCACTTACTGTATGCTTGCTAAGCTAATTACTGAAGTATGTCTTATGGTTCATTTGAAATAACAACTGAGCATTTTTGATCCTATCATCCTGGGTTTGAAATAAGCATGGTTAATTTACAATTAAGAACATATCAAACATAATCAAACCAACAGTAGCCAATAATTTGGAAACCTAAGGTGAGCTAAAAGAGAGTGACTAACCCAAAATTACCCAGCTAGGTAACTGACAATCCACAAGGCTTCAGTTATACCCCTGTCTAAATAAACCAACATTTTCATTTGCAACAAGCAAGCCATGGGAGATCTTGCTAGATCTATTTTTTTTTTAAAAAAACGGAATCTTGAAGACCACCGTTGAAAATTCTCACAAAAGACTTAACTTAGAATGAAATCATTCTGAGTTAGGCAAGGTGTTCTGAATGAGAGAACAAAATATAGAATAAAATTACCCTTTTGTGACCATTTTGTTAACAAATCATGCTGTCTCTCTTGGTTTTGTAAATGCTGTCCGATATTTACTGAGATCTATCTTCCATTCATTTTGGGTACAAGATTTGAGTCAGAAAAAAACGAGCACATCTACAGTATTCCTGACTTCCTCTGAGTGCTTGTTCCATTCCATTTCTGTGTTAATCTGCAAACTGGATTAAAAGAACATGAATGAAAATTCACATTGGAAAAATTTCCCCCCACATATTTTATTAACATTAATCCAAAATACACCATGCATTTTTATATTAGCAATGCTATATTTTTAGCCTTTTAATGTATAAGACTTATCTTCCCACTTTTATACCATCATAAAATTCAAAATAGAAAACTGCATTTTTCAATTTAGTTTAGTTCTGGTTTGCTCAGAAATGTAGGCTGTACAAAATGCCTGAGCATTTTTTAGCAGTAAGTGTTGCTGAGTAAGAAATAATTTATTACTTCAAGTGGGATACAAAGCTCAAACTATGTGAATATACACATGAGTTTTAGCAATCATAGATTGCTAAAATAATCATTTTTTCCTTACATCTTGTAGTATTTTGATTGGCCTACTTATTTGAGATGTCAGCGCTGATCTTCTGAATTATCAGCTCAAGGCATGTCATCTCCTTTCCTTCTTTCCTAATTGAAAAACAAAACAGCACAATAAAAATCAAAACAAAAAAATTATATAAGACAAAACATTTAATAAAGAGAGCTTGGGCATGTAGTTAAGAATATGTGTTATCTTGAGAAGGGCACATTTTTAAACATTCATATTCAAATTTTTATCTAAAAAGGCATTTGCATAGATGGAGATAAAACATGAATAAAAACAACTTTAACTGCGGTAGCACATCTAGCATTGCCTTGAACAGGTGCATTACAGTCAAATATTCATCAAGAAAATGTTTCCATTTCAGCATCTCCATACCAGGTGTATTGTCTCATTAGATTTTTCTAAGACAGCTGTTTCATCTGTTCAAGTTCTCCAGAAAGACATTTCAGAAAGGCTTCCCATTCCAGTTGCCTGTTCAGATAAGAAAAGGAAAAACAACCCTAGCATCCAAATGTCAAGTTTGAAGCATGTTTTGCTGGTGCAACTATTATTGCTTTTCAGCTTGCCAATGAATTTGGGAGGAGAGAAGAGGAATGGAATGCCAGCTCCAGAGATCAAGAAGTCAGACCATGAGAACCAAGGACAGTCCACCGGGTATCGGACCAAACTCAGAGACACTTTCTCATAACAATATTTTAACACCTAATTGGGCAACGTGACTGGACTAAAAGGAAGGAGGGGCAATTTACACTTTTACTATATGGTTTGGGAGGTGGTTTGCCAGAGCTGGTTTCATTTGCAACTGGGCCGAAATGATGTACTGAATAAAATTTTGCATTACGATATTGGATTGTCTTGGAGGTCCTTGCTTGGCTGGGTTCATCAGTCGGAACCTTGACGCCAAAATCTTAAATTACAAATTTAATGAAGACTGAAAGTTTAATCATATATCATAAGATAGTCATTTGAGTTTGAAGAAGAGACTGCTGTTGTGCAGTTTATCCATGGACATGCACATAGCTCTGCAGTTCCAATTTGGCACAATAGGGGCACTGGAGACTGATTGTTGTAGTGACTGTGGGTGTTTTACTGTGATGCCACTCACAATTTTCTGTCACTTTTTGACAGTGCCTTTCTTCAAGGCTGGTGGAGGCTTCATAGCACAAGGCTCACCACCATGTTCTGCTGGCAGCAGCAGCTTCTAGTTTTCTTGGATGTCACAATAATGCATGATTTCCTTCATAGCATCTTTTTGGCATTTGTGTGGTCCACCTCAAGGTTTCTTCTCAGACACCAGAAAAGCTGGTGAGGCAGACCACGTTCACCCATTCTGTTGACTAGCCCCACTCCTCTCATTTGGCCTCTTATAATCAGGGACTCAGTACTGGTAGACTACATGTAATCCAGGAGCTCCAGGTTGGAGAGCAATCTAGTGAAATTTCTCCAGTTGTTCAATGTGCCTTTGGTACAGAATCCAACACTCATATCCATATAAGAGAGAAGGGATAACCACAGCTCTGTAGACTTTCAGTTTTGTGGACATACAGATGGGTTGATTGAGCATTCTATTACACCAGGGATCCCCAACCTATGGGCCGCGGCTCAGTGCTGGGCCGTGGCCTGTTGACCACCGGGCCATGAAAATAGCTGGTGAGGGCCCCCCACTCATGATAGCACCACTGTGCAGGTGCTATTGGCTCTATTTGCTCATGCACTGGGGCGCTGGCACTAGCAGCCGTTTGGGCATGCGCACATGCACATTTCCCTGCTCCTCCCTTTCCTTCTCGGCTGTCAAGATGGAAAGGTTGGGGAGCTCTGAGGTATACAGCTGCCCTAATGTCTGACTGGCCTTTATATACCGTAAATGCCGGCGTACAAGGCGACCCGGCATATAAGACGACCCCGTCTTTATAGCCGGGCCTCATTCCTAGAACGTCGTCTTATACGCCGGAAACTACCAGTATTTCCGGCGTATAAGACGACTCGGCGTATAAGACGACCCCCGTCTTTGGCGCCGATTTCAGCGCTCGCGGAAGTCGCCTTATACGCCGGCATTTACGGTATATGCTCCTATATATACCTGGTTGCAAAGCATGTTGCAGTTGGTGTAACTTTTTTTTTTTACTAATGATTCAGGATCCTTGCATGAATGTCGAATATACACAGGAATTTCTCTTCCTGAAACAGTAGCATGCACTGCAGAATTTGCTGTCTGTTTCTTTCCGTTTTTTGCTCAATACTTTTTCTTTTTTGCTAATATATAGAAAAAAATGTATGGCTTAATTTATCCATTGTGCACAATTCCATCTACTGAAATATTAAACAATTAAACAATTAAACATTTTTAACCAGTAAAACCAGCTTGCTACCTACAAGCAAGATACTCAGAGAGAGACAATCAATACAGTGAAAACTTCTGGGAGTAGAGAAGATTCAGATGTCTGTCCCTAAGCCTGATTCAGACAGAACAATAAATCATGGTTTCATACTTCAGTAAGGGTGGGCAACTTCTGAAAAATGGAGTTCTGTTGATTTGCCACTTTGTTTTGAAAGACTGTTTCAATCAAAGCTTCTGATTTGGCCACTGAGGATCTTGACTTTCTGGAAGCCTATTTGATGATACAATAACTCCCTGGAAGAAATAGTACCAATATCTTTGGACTATTTATTATTGTCTATTTACTAACATCTCTCTGGGTGCTTTCAAGATAGGGAACATTAGTCCATTCAGAAGCAAACTTCTAATATTCTCACTCTTAAACTCCTCTATCAATCCCCAAACTATCCTCAAATGGGAAACAAAGCCACCACTTCACAAATGCATGGCACAACACAGAAGAACAAAGTCATCAAGACAGGGTTCAGCAGTCTTCAGTCTGCATCTGAAAGACAAGGGTCATTCTTCTGAAGACAGCATAGTCCTGATTCTGGACAGGGAGGACCACTAGTTTGAAAGAGGGATTAAAGAAGCCATCTAAGTTAAAACTGAACAGCCCACTCTGAACAGAAGTGGAAGGATGTAACACCACTTATCTCCTGCTTACAACACAGTCCTTTCAACAGTTCCAAGAAGGTTCCACAGCCATTTGCACTCTGATTCAGGTGACCCTGAGGATATAGATTAAACCCCCAAGGGGCCTCAACAACTCTCAGAGATCTAAGGACCAACCCTTAGAGTGCTAAATGACCAGATGACTACAATATATATAAATACTTCCATTCCCCACCAGTCAGTAGAACTGAAGAAGCTTCTTGATGAAAAGTGAAATGTTCTTAAAGGAAAAAAAAAACCAAGACAGTCCAGTTGTCTTTTGGAAAAGCACCTTTGGGTATCCTCAAATCACAGCAGTGAAAGTCTGCATATTTTCCACAGCACTACAGCAACATAACTTTGATATTTAAAGAGTAGAGAAAGTGCATTGAATAGGATGAATGGAATAGCAATAGGTAGCAACTGCCTATGCCTATACTAGATATATGACCTAGTGAGATTTGAGAATTTCAGTTCTTTCTTCTCTTGAAGGAAGGAAATCAAAACTAGCTCTCACTAGTTTTAAATTAATTGCAGCTTGCTAGGACTTTATACTTGAGCCTCTTTAAACCAGACATGTTCCAGATTGCCTCCTAATGTCAAATTCAGCAGCAAGCATCCAAATAGCCTGATTTCTCAGATTATTTTAGGAAGAAAATTAATAACGAAAATAGGAATGCTCTTAATGGATTTCTGCTGATTTAGTGTCAATGACAAAGCTTTATTATTTGCTAATAGATAAAGGATGAAATATGGTATGAAGAGATTCTAAGTTAAAATGTTAGAGAAGATGAGAAGTTATTGAAAATGTTTGCACCAATTGTATTAATGAATGTGGAACTAATCTCTTTTATATATTTCCCTTTGATTTTCTCTTACATATTTTTTCTTCCCCTTTTTAATCTGTTCACTTTTGTTTTTTTGTAGCTTTGTTAGGTTTTATTAGTTTTTTTTATCTTTGTATATTTAAACATGAATAAAAATTATTGTTAAAGAAAGGAAAATAGGAGTATTAAATTTCCAGTGAGATTTCAATTGCTTTGAGCAAAACGTCTGAGATTTTCGGCCATCCAGGTCATGGTTATCCCAAAGGTGCTTTTTTCACAAGGCAACTGGGCTTTCTTGTTTTTCTTGAAGACGTTTGGCTTCTCATCCAAGAAGCTTCTTCAGCTCTTTCTTTGAGCAAAACATTCCATATATCAAAGGATTGATACATGGTTGATTGAATGTTTGGATGTTGTTGTTAAATGGAAAGCTCAGAATGGTTGTATGGCATAGGTATGAGTTTTGTGATGATGCACAGTGCTCCAAAAAACCACTTTGATTCAGGGATGGAATGGAGCAATTGGAACCCCCTTTTAGATAAAGTGCTGAAACAAAATCAATGTCCTTGGCTGAAGCATTGGATTGGAGCTGCCACATGATTTCAAATCCAGATGGCAAAAGGATCCATTGCACTTTTCCATGTGCTCCTTTTCTCCATCTCAAAATGGACAATGGGAGTGAACCAACCCTCTCTGATATTTCAATATGTTTAATTTCTCTGAATCAAAGGGCTGTTTCAGTTCAGATTTCTTTGGACCAAAGCAAGGCTTCGGTTGGACCACCACACATCCTCAGTATGAATCACAGCATCTTCCAACATTCCCAGGTGTAGTTCTAAGCCGGCCAACTTTAAGACTGCAATTTATTGAAAATTGTGGAATCACAGCATGGGAGGGAGCCATTAAGGCAACTGAGCCAAAACACCTGCTCACAGGCAGGAATGGAAATTAAATTCTGGCAGGTGGCTGGCCAGACACAGTTATCCTGTTTGTTGGGAATCCTTTGTAAATAAAAATGGTAGGCCTTCCAATCACTCCCTTGTATGTTTTACAAAGGATTCCCATGCTGTAATCCTCCTCCACATTTGATCCTAGAGCTGAATTTTCATTTTGTTCTATCCTCTGGCTGGTATCAGCTTTGATGGTGTCATATACTGTATCTGTATCTATATCTGTATCTGTATCTGTATCTATCTATCTATCTATCTATCTATCTATCTATCTATCTATCTATCTATCTATCTGTCATCTATCTATCTATCTATCTATCTATCTATCTATCTATCTATCTATCTATCTATCTCAGATATCTCTCATTCTCTATCTCTATCTCTATCTCTAAAATACCATCAAAGCTGACACCACCCTGAGCACGAACTCAAAGAAATTCTTCTTCTTCTTCTTCTTCTTCTTCTTCTTCTTCTTCTTCTTCTTCTTCTTCTTCTTCTTCTTCTTCTTCTTCTTCTTCTTCTTCTTCTTCTTCTTCTTCTTCTTCTTCTTCTTCTTCTTCTTCTTCTTCTTCTTCTTCTTCTTCTTCTTCTTCTCTTCTTCTTCTTCTTCTTCTTCTTCTTCTTCTTCTTCTTCTTCTTCTTCTTCTTCTTCTTCTTCTTCTTCTTCTTCTTCTTCTCCTCCTTCTCCTCCTTCTCCTCCTCCTTCTCCTCCTCCTCCTCCTCCTCCTCCTCCTCCTCCTCCTCCTCCTCCTCCTCCTCCTCCTCCTCCTCCTCCAAAATTCTATTCTGAATCTTCAGTTAGCTGCAGCATATTCTTGTGAATTATTATATTAGGAGAAAATTTTTCCCATTGTCTTCCTCTAATGCTTTAAGAGGAATTTAAGGTCAAAAGCTTGTGTGTGTGTATCCTACTTTTATTATTTTTACAAATAAGGCAACAAACATACCCAACACACCTTACTCCTCCTATTTTCCCTGCAACAACCCAGTGAAGTGAGTTGGGCTGAGAGAGACTGACTGGCCCAAAGTCACCAGCCATGCCTTTCATGGCTAAGCAGAACTGCAACTCACCATGTTCTGTTTTCCATTTGCTTTTGTAACTGAAGTACTACACAGTCCTTTTATGTCTGTATATAGATGCAAATAAACAATTGCACACCAAAGAGAAAGAGATGCACACTTCATTTACTTTCATTGAATGGAATGTAGATGCATACACATTGATACTATGTAATAGAGCTAGATTAAAATGGGATAGATGTGTGCCTATTCTGGCATTTTATAAGTGAAAACATAGAAGAATAGCTTACTTTAGCAACAACAAGTAGGTCTTGGGATAGATATTGAGAAACTGACTTCAAAGGTTTGAGTATTAATGAACCACCGGAGAATAGAATGTATAAGTTTTAAAGTTCATTTTTCTCATCTTTAAATGAATGTGTTTGAAGGGAAATGAGATGACTCATTATCATGCCAAGAATATATTTGTGATTTCTGTCAGTGATTTATTTAGAATAATGTTCTAAGTGTATTTGACTCACAGCTAGATTTTTTCCCCTTGAATTTCAGCTCTGTTGTTAACAGTGGACCTAAGTATGTTTCCTCTCTTCCTCTAAATAAAGAAAATAAGAATATAAAGAGAGAGAAGAAGGAAAAAAAACCAGAATCATATTAGGAAATGACAATCAAATCGATAGATGTAGAGTTGCTGAACCAGCTGGTAACGTAATCTATGAGAAACTGGGCTGTTGAAAACAAAAATATGCACTTGAGTCAAAATCCAATTAGTTCAAAGTTTATTTCATTTTCTTTAAAACATAGGTTCCGTGCGCTCAGCCTAATATGCTTTTCAAGTAGCTAATGGCCTGTGGAATCATATAACTATAAAAACAGGAAAATATGGAATATAATTAAGGCAACACAATTGTAATGCCATGCCTTCTACATTCAGAGAACCAGTTACAATCTTCTTCCTGTGATTCGAAGTATTTGGTAAACAAAATGATAATTATCTTTTTCAAAATTATGAGAGCTTTCCAGATATCTTCTTTAAAATAGGTTTTTTTTAAAAGTTTTTTATTTATAAAACAGTTAAAACAAAGATGGACATAATGTAACATTCCAGTGTATATATTCCTAACAATTTGTCCCACATCATGCATATAATTCTTACTATCTATATATACATATTTTTCTATACAATACAGTCTCTAATTTGTTTCTCTATATGCTAACATACAGTTTTATATATCTCTATCTTAACACTAACTTAAAACCCGAACAGTTCTCCTTGATTCACACCAACAATAGAATTTGTCCCAGATTTCAAAATAATCTGACTCTGTCTTGTCCTTTCATTTCCATTGTGAGCCTATCCATATCAGCACACGATAGGATTTTATATAAAATCTCTTCTTCTGTTGGAATTTCTTTATTCTTCCAGTTTTGTGCATATGCCAATCTAGCAGCCGTGAGAATATGTAGCATCAAGTAAAGTATCCCTTTATCGTATTTCTGCGTAGTTATGGCTAGTAGGAAGAGTTCTGGTTTTAGCTCTACCTCTATCATTAGTATTTTTCCAGCCATTTTTTAACCTTGTTCCAAAAGTCACGGGCTTTTGAGCACTCCCACCACATGTGGTAATATGTCCCTCTTGCCAATTTACATTTCCAGTACGTGGAAGAAATATTTGGACCCATTTTAGCTAATCTTGTGGGTGGGAGATGCCATCTGTAGAACATTTTGTAGAGGTTTTCTTTGTAGGAGGTGCCCAAAGTAAGCTTCCTGTTTCGTACCCATAGTTCTTGCCAGATATGTAGATCAAAGTTGAGATCAAAATCCCTGCTCCACGTTAACATGGTTTCTTTTACATGTTCTTCATACATTGCCTGATCTAACAAATAATGATATAGCTTTTTAATCTAAAATAGGTTTTCAAAGGACGGAAATGCCTTCAGAAAAATTGTATGTTTAAAAAAAAAATTCTGAAGGCTGAGGGACACTTGAAAAGATTTAACAATAAGTAGAATAACACATATTGATTTCTTTCTAAATATGAAGACAATGTTATATTTGTAGAAAACAAGATTTGCTTTATGTTCTTCAGACCAAAGAGAAGTTAATTTTAGTTTTATTCTATTCATGGTCAAAACACAGAATATGGATTCAAATAAATTATCTATCTTACTCCTCTTTTTTATCATTACAAAAATTTGAGATGATTTGAAATTTCATAATTCAAATGTTCTGGGAGTCTGGGATCAGCAGAAGTGTAATTGTAAAGCTGGATTCTGATTCAAAATAGATTTGAATCTCATTCCAAAAAGAAAATCAAAACACTTATAGTTAGTGAGGAGTAGTCAATACGTAAAATCAAACCTTGTATAACCATACTATCTGAGGGTCTATAAGGCAAAAGACCTAAGAGTTACAGTCTGGATCAAGTAATAAACTTTTGATTCTTATATAATAAATTTTCATATAATATGGCGGGAGTTTAATATTAGAACATAGAATCAATCATAGGGCTGGAAGACATCTTGGATGGCTTCTGGTCGGACCCCCTTCTCAAGGCAAGGCAACCTTATTCCGTTCCAGACAAATGGCTGTCCAGTCTCTTCTTCAAAATCTCCAGTGCTGGGGCACTCACAACTTCCAGAGAAAATTGTTCTACCAATTAATTGTTCTCACTGTCAGGAAATTTATTTCCAGGTTGATTCTCCTTCTGACAGAGCTTCCACTCCTTCCTGCATCTCTCCCTCTCTCCCCGCCCATTCCTCCCACACCTTCCCTCTCCCTTCTGTCTGATAACTGGCATGAATGAAGTCATGAAAACAGTAGAATCTCTCCCCCCCATTTGTTCTTACCCACCCCTTTCTTCTCTTTCCTCTCCTTTCCCCTTACTTCTCCTTCCCGGCCATCCTATATCCCCCTCCCTTTCCCCTCTGTACTCCTTATCACCCTCCCACTCCTGCCTCTCCCATTCTCCTCCCCTCATCTTCTCCCTCCCTCTCACTTACCTACAATAATAACCGGCATGGATGAAGTCATAAAGACATTAGAATTTTCCCCTCCCTATTTGTCCCTGTACCCTTCCTCTCCCCTCTCCTGTCAGGACCACTTAACCTTTTCATCTACCTTCCCTTTCCCTTCCTCATCCCCCTACTTTCCCTCCCTGTCCTGTCCCCTCTTCCCCCCTCCTGTCCTCTCCCCTTCCCATCTCTACCCATCCAATTCCAACTCTTTGTTCCCTTCCCCTTCTCCCTGCCCCTTCCTTCCCTTTGTGTCCCATTCCTCTCCTCCTTCCTCTCCCCTCCCCACTCCTATCCATTCCACTCCATCACTTTGTTCCCCTTCCCTTCCCTTCCCCATCTTCATTTCCCTCTCCTCTCCCTCTCCCTCCCTTAGCCATTTTACCTTTTCTTCTCTTCCTATCATCCCCCTCTCTGTCTCCATTCCCTATTCTGACCCTGCCTCTCAACCTCATCCTTTCACCCTCACCTTAACCCTCTCACCCTCACCCTCACCCATACCCTAAACCTAACCCAAACTCTCACCCTCACTTACATTTCTAAGAGTTGTCTACAAAAAGAGGGAAGGTTCCCCAGAGTCCCGGAGCCCTACTGAAGAGCAACATATTTCTAGGAAGGCATCTTCATTCTGATAACTGATAGCTGACAGTAACTGATACTTTAGCCTGCAAGGATGAAGTCACAAAGCCATTAGAATTCCCAAGGAAATGACCTACCTCCCTTATTCTCCTATCAAAGGTCACCTGGTCCTCCACCTTTGTGACATACACCCATGCCAGGAAACTGTCTCTACGGAGCTACCAAATCAAACACTGAAGCTGCCTATTTCTCATTTTTTTACACAAAAGGCAATAGTTCTTTGGATGTAGATGTCCTGTTTTTATGAAGCCCTGTTAAACAGCTTAATACTCTTCTGTCTGGTTTGTAAAATCAGAGATTGGAAGCAGACTTGATTGTATTTAAGATAAACCTTGAAATACATTTGTCCCATTGACATCAACAGGACTGAATCTTACAGATCTCATTGATTTTACTGGCACAACTCTGATACATTCTGAATACAGTTCATTGTCTGGAAAGACCAATAGATTTTAAACCAAAATTATTTGGTCTGTCACATTTAGACCTGTTGAGGTATATGTCCTGCATTATTTTCTGTTTGATAAAGGGAAAAAATATTCTAAATGTATTATTTTCTTCTCCCATTCTTTGAAGCTTCTGTCTTCCAAACATCTGCCTTATTTAATCAGTGAAGCTCCTTCTGTTTTCCCCATCAAAGAGGGCACTATACCCAGTTGTGAAATGCCAATGGAAATGGACTATGGCAGGCAAATTAAACTGCATGCAGGGAAAATGCAAACCTATCCTAGGGGATCAATCTGCTTGTGTGCCTCAGTGATAAGAGGGTCTCCTGCTTGAGCAGTAGGTTGGACTGGAGGATCTCCAAGGTCCCTTCCAACTCTATTATTCTGTTATATGCTAAGGAAATTTGGCAGGTAGTCAGGTTTAAGTCATTTGATTAATTGCCACACTGGGTTATAAGTGGTACATACTGCTTCTTCCAATTAGTTATCCTTAAACAGGCATGTTTATGTGAAGCTTGTAGGTACCTTGCTAATTTCCAAGATAGTTTGGATATTTTCTTTAATAATGGTATTTTAATGCCTATTCTAAAAGAATAAAGAATTATTTGTGAATGAAGAAAATATATAGTATATAATTACTATGTTATTACCTTCTAAGAATAGTGTATCTTTTTTATCAGTATAGATACATTAGCCTATGGCATTCTCCCTACCAAGAAACAGAATGGAAAACGTCCATCGATTAGGATGGATAAAGTCTAATTCTCTTTTGGTCATCATTGCTAGCTGCCAGTCAATAAAACGTATAACACAATATTTCATAATGTAATACATGACATGCAGGCTTTTGTTGCCTCTCCTAAATCCCCTGTAAAATATCTTCGTTGGATGACCATCCCATTCTTGCATTCACAAAGAGATAAAATGCTGCGTTGTTATCAACTACTTTTGAAAGCTCTTTTGAAACTTGTTAAAAGAAGTATTTCATAGACAGTTAATAGTGTAGCTTTTGGTGTAAGCTAAAGTCTTCACTGTTTCTGTTAAATCAAAGGAGGATAGGTGGGAATTTCCACCACTCAAAGCCATATTCTGTAGATCTTGCATGCAAGAATGTAAGCAAGAGAAAAAATTACATATGGATTACAGGATGAGAGGAAACACAAAAATATAAATATGGAATAAGAAAGATATTTCTCCCCACTACATTGGCGAGAGCAATACTGCTACAATTAAATAGACTTTGGGTGAATTTGTAAGCAAGTATTTGTGATTTCTTGGATAATATTTAATTGAAAGAGGCCTTTAGGAGATTAACTGAGGTTAGAGATAATAAGGGAGAGAAATAAAAAAAGGGGATGAACATTGTTTTTCTAGAATTTATCTATCGGTATTTGTATATTTTATTAGTTTTATCTCTATGCAGCCAGGCTGTGAGGAAATAAACTGGAGGCTGTCTGCATGTTATGATTGCATTCATAAAATAATGGGGGAAGTTGAGAGAGGGGAAAGTCCCAGTCACCTACATCTCCATCCTGGAAGAACTATGAGTGAGTTGTTGGGTTTCAATAAAATACCCTGCGGTGTTCAGAGAACACACAAGAACAAGCTAAAATAATTGTAACTCACCTTTCAATCATAGGTTGCAAGAATATAATTATGGAGGGGTTTCGGGGGGGGATGTTGACAGACTAATAACAGATCCAGCCTTCTCCCCTGGCCATCTTACTGCCTCCCTGCCCATCTTTAACTTAGGGGTGAATATTTCCCTTTTGATATTATTTAGTTCATATTGTGTATAGATTTTGTAAAGTGTTATCTTTTCAATATTGTAAATGCCCGGCGTTACCCTGTGGTACAATGGGTGGTCAACACATTCAATAAATAAATAAAATAAATAAACTATAACTCTTAGAAGACTTGAAAAATGACGTTGGAGATAGAGAAAAACTATCTCTGAGAGTTGACACCAATATGATTGCACATCATTAAATAATAATTTACATAGTACACAAATTCTCACAAAGTTTATTAAAATATATTGTGCAAGTAGAAACATTACATTATTCTGGCATTCTTAAGAAAACTCCCTAGTACCAGCTTATAAAAACACAAACTATAACTTCAGAAGGAATTAAAATTGTTTTTTTTTTCCCTGCTTGGCCCCAGCACTCACAGCAGTATGTTGTTGTTGATAGTTGCGAAGTCGTGTCTGACCTTTCTTGCAGTTGTTAAGTGAATCATTGCAGTTGTTAAGTTAGTAACACAGTTGCTAAATGAATCTGGCTTCCCCATTGACTTGGCTTTACGGCATAGAAATAGTTAATATACAACCTTAGATTGGCAGTTAAGAATATACTGTACATACATACATACTTACATTTGTGTGGGGGTGTGTGTGTGTAAAATGGAGTTCAATCAGCATGCTTAAGTTTTGTGGACATTGTGGATATGCCCTTTGCTTTGACTTCTGTGACTGATGATAATATGGAATTGGATTAAAGCTGATTCAGAGATCCAGCCCTATTATTAGGCACAATGAAACAGCTTTGGTAGCAGAGTAGGATGAGTAGGAATTTATTGCCTGATTCCACTTAAAGGCATCTGAATTTCTGCTGATTTGCCTCTTGCCATCTTGATCATCCTCCTACTATATGTATTACCTCATGAGGTTGCTCAAACTGAATTATGAAATGAGTTTTAAAAAGCTGCTGTGATCACCACAAAACACAGTGTTCTGTGCACTCTTCACAGTGATGTTTATAGGAAGGTCAGAATAACTGTTCAAATAGAGAATGTATATCAGTGTACCAAGGTAATAAGTGGAGACAAGGAGTGCAGGAGACAGATTCTTCTCTTATTTCAAGTAATTTTTATTTATTAATAAAATTTGTATAGCTGCCCATTTTACAAAAGGTGAATCTTGGCAAAATTGAATAAAACAACAAATATTTGTTTTGCAACACCGAAGTCCTCTTTAAGGGAAGATGGGCAGCTATATGAATTTGATTCATGAATAAGTAAATAAATATGGATCCTCTTAAGATGCCACTGCTTGGAAACCCTTTGTGGCTTCTTATACCAACCAGAAGATTGTGGATTACTGAGACATTGCAACTCCACTGAGTCATGGTGGTGCAGTGGTTTGAATGCAGTATTGCAGGCCAACTCTGCCCACTTCCAGGAGTTTGATCTTGACTGACTCAAGATTGACTCAGCCTTCCATCTTTCCGTGGTTGGTAAAATGAGGAGCCAGATTGTTGGAGGCGATATGCAAATATATAAATAATGCTGACATTGGAAACTGCCCAAAGAGTGCTGTAAAGCAATATGGGGTGGTATATAAGTCTAAGTGCTATTACTATTGTGGTCTTGTCAGAGCAAGTGATCCCATCACACTGGTCACAAAAAGAGCAGTTCAAAAAGCAATGTTTCTTCTAGTTTTTAAAAGTATTCAACCTATGGCTGGGGAGACACACGGTATAGAAAAGCACACTGTAGGTCCATCTAGTAAGCTTCAAGATTCTGATAATTATATTATTACAACCTGTGATTGAAAGGTGAGGTCCAACTATTTTAGCTTGTTCTTGACTGTTCTCTGAACACAGCAGGGTAATTTATTGAAACGTAACAACTCATTCACAGATCTTCCAGGATGAAGATATAGGTGACTGGGACATTTCCCTCTTTCAATTTGTCCCCTTTAAATGTGACAGAACGAGTAATTTTGGTTTAAAATCTATTGGTCTTTCCACACAATGGGCTGGATTCAGAAGGTATCTGAGTTGTGCCATTAAAATCTGTAAGATTCAGTCCTGTTGATTTCAGTGAGATAAATATTTCAAGATTTATCCTAAACACAGTCAAGTCTGCTTCCAATCTCTGACTTTATAATCCAAAAACAAGAATATTAAGCTGTTTAGCAGTGCTTAGATAATAATAATAATAATAATAATAATAATAATAATAATAGTAATAATAATAATAATAACACCCAGTGAGACACTACCTTGACGTGGTTGTGGGGCTTGTGTACTCTGAGGAAGATGAGAGCTATGCCAGAGGTTCAACCATACTGGACAGGTCTCATCAGAGGAGTCAGACAAAGAGTGTCTCTCCCATAAAAAATATGGTGAGATGTAAATTGCAGAATGCCATACCGGCTCGGACGTCGCCGGGTTAACAAGGTCCGCACTAGATATTGGAGTTCCTGGATATCTGGTGAAAAATGGGTTACAGGACTCAGGACTGTTGGCTGAGCAACCAGGGCCAGCAGCTGCAGAACTACTGGAAGAAAAGGTGTTTACCCGTCGCAGATACACAGTGATGGAAAACAAAGAAATAATGATCTGTTACTACAGATCAAGTCCAACAACACGAGGATATCTAAAAGGAATGCACCAGTTCTGGAAAGAACAACATCCAGAATCAGAAATAACAGAACAGAGACTAGCAGATCAATGCCGATTTATAACACGAAATAAAGTATTCACAGAAATAGAATTGGACGAACTGCAAAGGTTTACCCAGGGCAAAGAAATCAAAGCCTTACCAGAAGTAATTCAGAATGTAGAGGCAAACCAGGGGGAGTTGGCAGTGAAGGAATCTAGCAGAGATATACAACTGTTCTCATTTGGAAACCAGGCACCTCTTCCTCAGGA